GATGAATTAGTCTTGAACTGCCCAGTGAAGTTTCTCTTTTCTGGTTAGCTTCCACAGTATTAGAAAGTGCTATGCAGGCTGCCGTAGGAGAAAACACAGTATCAACAGTCTTAACCAGCACTGGAACCTGCATAGTCTACTGACATGCCAGACAAGATAGTGCCCTGGTGGTAAGACTGTTTACAGGGGGTAGCCAGCTGATTCCATGATTTGATCTGTAGCCTGAATCACAGGGAGAAATCAACCCTTTGTAGCATAAACTTGGTCAAAACACATGGCTAGGGAAGTTACAGGCCCTAGAAGAGGAGGATCTATTGATGTGTTCTTAATGAATGGTCACGTTATTAAGTTGCCTCCTAAAAATTTATGTTCATATCCAGAGATTTCTGCTGCTCCCAGCCTTGGTCAGAGAAACTTCATTTTTTTCCCCAGTGGATAGTGATTAATTCAGAGATAATCTAGAACTGTACATTTCTGTTGTAAGCTCCAACAGTAAGCCACTTTGAGTGCTCAGCTGTAGAGGGGACAAGTATCAACCCCGGTTCACCTCTCCAGACAGAGTGGAAACAATGTAAGAGCTAGAAGATAGGGAAGGGAACTGCGCAAGGCTGTTCTCTAGAGACATTACACAGCTGTTGTACACATGAACGGACAGCAGCTGTGTTACCTGCACAAGACCTGCACAAGATCAAGCCAGTCAAAAACTCAGGCACAGAGTAGGGAGGGACTTCTGAGTCCCACCTTTTACCGAGGAGCTCATGGCATGATGGATACTGTGGGTGGGAGAATCGCTTCTCTTTGAAGGTGTAGTCACTGTTAGGTTGCCCATGATGACCCCACACATGTTCACATATGGCCAGCTCAAATTGGACTTGATGGGTTTAAAACTAAATATCTGTTTTAAAGGAGGACATACAATTAGCAGAGTGATTGGGGAGTCTTGGGGAGAGAGAAGCGGGGGTGAGGGGTAGCTATGATCAAGATAACATTACTTAGAGGTATGAAATTTTCAAAGAATCAAATCTTAAAAATATAAACAGCAACCAAGTTCTATTTATACATTATTGATCATTCTGTGGCAGGATTTTTGCCCTCTTTAAATCATTTAGAATACATTCTTTGCAATGTCCTTGCATAGCCAATGACTCTTTAATATTAATCACAATAAGGATACTTTCTTACAATGCAGCAACAAATTTAACAAAATGAACCCAGAACATATGAATTACAATTATGAGCTTATTCTTTTCTTTGTTAAATAATCCCTCATTTCCCATGGTATATTAAATTTCTTTAATATAGCATATGTACAATTGCCATGTCATGTCTAGAAGACAGCATTGCACAGCTCTCCTCCCTATCTTCTAGCTCTTACATTCTTTCCACTCTGTCTGGAGAGGTGAACCAGGGTTGATAGATGTCCCATTTATCTATGGCTGAGCACTCAAAGTGACTTACTCTTGGAGCTTGCAACAGTAATGTACAGTAGCAGATCCTGAATCAATCACTATCCACTGCAAAAAAAAGTTTCTCTGACCAAGGCTGGGAGCAGCAGAAATCTATGTATTTCTTAAATTTCATTCCCTTAAAATAACTACATATTTACTAGAGCACTACGGAGATCTAAACATGACGATGATATGGGAAGTTATTTGTTTTCACATGTAATGTGATCTCATATCATATTCAGAAGCAAATATTCCACCAAAGTAGGACAGCATGGAAGAGACTGCTTCATGTGTTTGTACCAATGGTTACAAGTTGCCTGACTTTGTATCAATTATAAGATAATTGGGAGGGAGTGGCATTGGGAAAATTTTACTTTCACAGATGTTAGGTAATTAGCAGGGGATCCCTGTCTTTCCTTTAGAAGTATTTTTACACACAAAGGTGCTTGTTACACATACATTTCAACACAGCAGAGCCATCACTTAAGGAGTAGGGTAAATGAATACAGCCATTCCGTAACATAGGAGGTGGTTTATTAAAGAGTTTCCAAAAGATGTACTGTTACGATAAATCTTTCCGCCAAAAGCCGCCTGAGCTGCACTGCCACCTGTGAGCTTTATGCCAGTTGCCCGCCTGAGTTAGGCCCAAATGAATACACAGAAACTTGTATTAGGTACAATGCTGCTTGGCCAATGACTAGGATACTCATCTGTTAGCTCAGTCTTAATTATCATAAATCTATATATTTTATAAGACTTATCTTATCGGACACCTTGTTGGCGTCCCTCTTGGCTGGTGGATCACATCCTGCTGCTAGAGCAGGAGCAGAGGGGAAAAGATGGCCCTTCCTGTTTCTCCTTCAATTATTGGCTGGTGGATCACATCCTGCTGCTGGAGCAGGAGCAGAGGGGAAAAGATGGCCCTTCCTGTTTCTCCTTCAATTAAATATGAGTTTCCTTGCTATGTCACTTCCTCAGCCTGGATCAGCACTTCTCTACTACATTTCCCAGAATCCTCTTTGACTCCTAGTCCTACCTAACTTGCCGTTTCATTGGCCAAACAGTATTTTATTTAACAATCAATAAGATAAACATACACAGTACATTCCCCATCAATGTACCTTAGGAAAGAACACCCTGAATGTTTTTGTGGTGTTAGAAACAGTTATATCAGCTTAATATTTCTCTATCATATCTGTTGGTTTCTGCAGAAGTTACCAAAATCTCATTCGCACACCAAATATGAAATGCTCCAGGCATGCTTCTAGGTGATGGGATACTCCAGAGAGCAAAATAGAGGAGAAAATATTGCTCTCTTGAGTTTTGCATTTTAGTAAAGTGGCACCCCCAAAAGGCAAACAGGAGGAGGAAGTTTGATCAGGAAGAAAAAGGGACAGTGTGAAAGACTGTAGGAATTCTAGCTGTTGTAGAAGTCACTAAAGTTGTCTGAGTAGAGAAGGGACATGATCTAAAGGATACACTGGCTGTTGCATTAAAATGGGAGATGATGACTCAGTGTGTGAAGGCACTTGCTGCCAAGCTTGTTGACTTTAGCTCAATTCCTTGGACCCACATGGTGGAAGAAGAGATTTTCCAGAAGTTATCCCCTGACACACGTATGCACACAACACATGAGGGCAAATGCATGCACACACACACACACACATAGACACACAGAGTAGTTAAAAATGTAACTTAAAAGTTAAAATGGGAGGAAGGTAGAAGCATACCATCTTATATGAAGAGAATAGTTAGCAATGAAAACAGTGGACTCCTGACTAATTCAGGAGCTTTGGTAGCAGTGAAACAATAACATCTAACATCTGGGTTTAAACAATAGCATATTAACATCTAGAGCAATGGCAACTAGTAGCCAATGGAAGTACACAACGGAAGTTGAGGACAAGATACAATGGTATAAGGCATAGTTCTTCAGTAGAAACCAAAAGGCTAGTACAAGGATGTATGTTAGGCAAACAAACATAAAGGAAATAATGTCACTGTAACTGAAAAACAACAGTCACACAATGATAAAATACCAAATTAAAATATAACGTAAGACATATGCACTTGATATTTTCAAAATACATGGTGCAATAGCTGTCAGAAGAGCAACAAAATATGTATAACCCCTCATTATTGCTGGAGAATTAAACAGACATTCTGCAATCATAAACATTTCCACTCTCTCCTTAAGGAATCAGATCAGTACAAAAACAGATCTAAAATCCACAAGAGGGGCTGGGGAGATCACTCAGTGGGTAAAGTGCTAGTCTAACTATAATGGTCAGCTCCAGGTTCAATGAAAATCCACATCTCAAAAGATAAGATGGAGAGTGGAAGACAATTAGGGTTGTCTTCTGGTCTCCAAATTTTTGCACTCACAGGCCAACACACACACACGCACACAAATGCCATCATAAAGTTGAGCTAATAGTTTTGTCTCAAGTTGAGAATGCGTGTTCATTAAAATACTTAAATGCACTTATAATTTTAGCAAATTTAAAGTATTAGCACCAGACACCTGTCTCTAAACTACCACCTAAATGAACATCAGCAACTAAAAGAAACAACAGAGATGATGGGCTTCCAAGGAGCTGAAATTTTCTTCATGACCTGGAATGGCCATAGCTACTATCATCTTACTCTGTCTGTCTCCCACCACATCAATGGTAAAATTCAAATTCTATTCTTGATTGTTATCTTTCATCTCCATTTAACCAGTTACTATATTGTTTAGTATGTCCCGAATAAATTTTAAATTACTCTCATTACTCCACTCTCATTTCTTAGTTTCAGAAAGTTTCCATCTCTTGTTTGAATTAATGCCATGGCATCATTCTAGTTTTAACTTCAAGCTTTCCCTGGACATTTACGAATCAATATAACAAAGTAACAGAGATAAAGTTCCATTATCAAATGGAAAAGCAACATAAATGTAGATAATTTTAACTGTCTTTCTTACTGTTATATAACTAGTTGTTTACATAACACAATGGGTTACACTATAATTAAAAACTTTTTGTTGAAAGGAGGCAGTTTCACTCAGTGAGACGTGGGTGTGGTTTACACACAGCACAGTGGCATCAGGTGAGTGCAGGAAGCATTTCCTAGAGAAGCTAAACCCTTATGATTCCACGTGAATAACCCCCCTGCTTCAGTCAGGTCATAGTTTTCCATGGCTAGCAAAATGAATCTCATGTTAGACATTCAAAAGTATCTGAATTTGCTTCTTATTGAGATCCATATTTCCTAAAAACTTGTGCGTGTGCTTTGTTTCTGCCAAACAAATTCACTTTGACCTTGTCTTTTTATGGATCTCACCACATTCACTGTTTTAATACAGTCTTCATTTTTTCCTGATTCAGATAGAAATACATTAAGAACTTAGGGGACATAAGATGAGAGTAACCAGTTACACTAGTTTCTCTCAAATTCTCTTGATAAAACAGAAGTCCTACGTCCTAGAAAACCCAGTCCTACAGAAGGCAAGAGAGCTGTTTTCTCGGGAATGATGTCAACTGAGGAACTCTTAAGAAAACAGGGCCTTACCTTCACATCATTGGTGTTCATCCTTGTTCCCTCCTTCCCCACAAATATGTCATCAATGTCCACAAGGATGTACCTGTCCAAGGACAATGTCAGCCGCTTTCCTGACAGGAAGGAGATGGCATCTATGAAGATGAGCTTGTGCAGCCAAAAGTTCAAGTTGTTCCCAAAAAGAACGCGCTGGATGCCATCATGAAGCCCCAGGTCGTGTATGATAGTGGCATAAAAAGCACCTTTAGAGATGGGAGGAGAAATGTTTTCTGGAGTAGTAACTTTGGCAAATATGACTGGCTGGTAGGTGGAGTGGTTAATCTGAAAAACTGTCCAGTCAGTTCCAGGTAAAGAACCTCTGTCAAGCTTGGATGATTTGGTCACACGCAGCAATGGGGAGTGAGGATTAATACAGCAATCTTTTACTGCCAGGTTTCCACTTATGGAAAAGGGGAAGCCTCTGAACTGAAAGCTCTGTAGGTTTTTCTCACTGGTTTTGTGGAATCCAATGATACCCACACCATACTCTACACAGTATTTATCTAAGAGGCTTCTATTCCAAGAGTCCATGTTTATATATTTTAAAATATTCTCATATATAATGAGAACATATTTGCCTTTCACATTGTCCGTAAGGGCTGGAAGGTCCCCCTTTCCAGGAGCAATTTCAGTGTGATAGTGGAATCGAATGGATTCTAGCATCGTAATGATGTCTTGGCCAAGGGATGAGTACTGGCTCTCCACAAACACTAGGACTGTGGGGTCTGTCCTTGAAGCATCAGAAAGCATTGTCCTCTTCACTTCCATCAGCCTGGATGGTATGTGCTGGAGGTCACCACAGTCTACTTCTGAAGCCCTACCAGAGAGTTCACTTTCTTGTTTGTAGCCACTGTACAGGTAGTAAGCAGAAATAATAATGCTTACTACACAAAAAGTGGCAAGCAGAATCAGTGTTCTCTGAAAGTGTCTGTGAAGTTTCATGATAACACTCATGTTGGGTGTACTTCTTTGACTATTCCAAAAGAAGCACCATTAAAAAAAAAAAAAACAAAAAAAACAGGAGAAAGGATGGAGTTTCAGTCACGCTCCTAGTCTCAGTCAATAGTTTATGTCACCATTGCAGCACATCTGGATTGCACGATCAGGGCTCACAGGAAATACAGTCTGAAAAATAGAAGAAAATAGGACAGAGTATAAAACATTCTGTCTTTGGTACCAAAATGAGTGAGTTTTTTTTATCGTGTTGGCTACCTTATATGGAGGGTTATAAGTAGATAAGACGGTGTAAGTTGCATTAGAAAATCTTGCCTTCTTATTACATATGTGGATGAGGACTTGTGATGGATAGAATGAAGAAGAGGCTCCACTCAATATAGGGTCACTACTCCTAACACAGAACAAGTGACTGGGCTGATAAGGACCCAGACTCAACAAGCTTTGCATCAAATTTTGTCAGAAACCAGGATGTAAGGGCACACAGAGGTTCTCAAGAATATTCAGTAGCTGTCACACAGACACATCTCTTGCTGTGTGTATTTAAACTGTGGATGTTGAATTACACTTACTAAAGGTTTACAAAATGTGGACATACATCATTAAGTGCCAAGATTACAACAGTGGCTTTTTGTCTTTTCCAGAAATTTCTTACTGTAATGTACATGTATTTCCAATTCATTCAAGAAATTACCCTCTAAGAACTGCTTTCATTAGAAAAATCCTTTCTACATGCAAAGATGGCCCAGCCACCCAATTGACAATTTTAGATTACACAGCTTTAAAACACTGTACCAATCATATTGAGAAATGACTGTGAGAAGTGCAAAGCTTCTTAGGTTCCTTCAGGTCTGGAGTGACATGGCCTGCTTCAGGCATGTGACTACCGAAACTCTGCTAGGTTCCTTCAGGAATGAGATGGCCTGCTTTAGGCATGCACACCCCAGCAGCTCTGCCAGATGTTCCAGTGTGATCTGCCTCTGCTTTGAGAGCTCAGTGATTACATCAAGAGTACCATAAAGACATGATAAAAATGTCATGAAAACAGTTGAGATGCCATGAAATGCTTCATGCTCCAATAGTGTCAAGTTTTAATAACCTTTGAAAAATCCAAAGCAGAGAAGCATGTATGGTACACATGTTTGGGAGGGTTTATGGTCATGTCATGAATTTCATAGTGTGCTCACAGATAGCTGTGGGACAAACAGTGGTTGAAAATCCTGCATTTGATGGTTACCCTGCATTTAGGACTGTTCCTCTGTTTCTTAATTGCAATATTTCTATCTGGTACTTTGCGTATACAATGATGAATCCAGAATAAATAGTCCCTAAGAATCACAGGGTTAAAACTCTGTAATATTTATCAACAAAATAATTAGTAATTCAGAATTTGAATAATATGTATATCTTCATGAAAATACATTTTGGGATATAAGTATGAGATATTTATGATATTTATCCTATAAATCAATCATACATTGTAGTTTATTATTCAAATACTTGGGGTATCTGTGTCATCCATTCAAATATTTACGGGGAACTTATTTTTTCCTACTGAAAATATACATGTTTAACATATTAAATGTCTTTAAAAACTTCTAAATCATGAAGAGGACACAGTTACTAGAATGCTAACATGCGGTTGTGGATTGGAGGCTGTAATGAGATGGGAGAGGAAAGAACCCATGACAAGTGGGGCATAGCCTGTGAAATGCACAGTGAAGAAGACATGGCTGAAGCTGAAAGGAAGGTAATTTGTATAGACATCCGATTTAGAGAATGTTCTATACATAGGAGTAAGCACAGTATTGGGAAAAGGTCATGAATAAAAAGTATAAAATTTAGGTAAAAATATTCAAAAATTAACTGTGACTATGCACTGTTAATGCAAATTATAGGGAGTGATAAACCCTTAAGTACAATGACAGGTCCTGTTTTCTCTAGATGTAGTAGATATAAATGCCAAAGTCATTTCTTTTCCATTAAATTCCCTTAGGTTATCTTTAACAATTCTCCTGCTTTCTGTAAACTGTTTTTTTTTTAAGACAGGATCTCATTATGTAGCCATGTTAGTCTGGAACTCTAGAACTCTGAATGCCCCTGTCTCTGCCTCTCCAGTGCTGGGATTATAGGCATTTTAAATACCATGCCTGGCTTCTATGCAAATCTTTTCTAACAAATGCCTCATGTGCCCATGGCCAACTTTAGTTTCAGTATGGACCCACAAACAGCCACTTCCTGTCCCATACTTTTCTTCTAGTTGTGAAAACCCCAGGGTGGACTGAATTGATGGTGTCTCGCTTCCTCCAGGGCATGACACTTTAGAAGCAGGCAGAAACAACCTCTGAGTGTGTTGTGAACGTGACATCCCTAGGACAGGGAAATATGGAAAAGTAACCCTGTCCACCCAGTTCTCTTGTCAAATTTTCTGACTTTCCAAACTGGCAAAGACTCAGTAGATAACACATAGTCATGAAAAAGTCCCCTCCCTTGTACTTGCTACCATAATAATTAAAACTTTGTTTAAAATCATCCTTCCTGTTGGGGTGGAAGCTCTACAAAGGAAGAATGAAATCCTTATTTATCCACCATTGCAGCCCTGTGCCCAGCATAGAATAAGCTCAGTGACTGTTGGTAGAATTTATTATATTCAATGGCTCATTATGCCTGCAGGTTTATTAGGCACTTCCACTTTATGCTAATGCTGTAATGTATCTTTTAGGGTTACCCATGACTATTAATGATTATAGTTGCTAAAAATTGTGGATTTCATGTCTGATGTCTGTTTTATTGAATGCAGAGTAAATGTAATCATAACACCCTGGCATATGATAAATCTAACATAATAATTATTAGATTATAAATCTTCACATGCATGCACACACACAACAGCAGCAGCAGCAGCAGCAGCAGCAACAACAACAACAACAACAACAACAACAACAAAACCACCAAGAAATTGCTCTGCAATCAGCCATGAGGTAATTACTGAAGAACTAATTTGGGATTAGTGTTGTAGACAATGCTGAAGACAGCACAGAACTGAAATTATTTATAATCCTTGCATCCTCATAGATGGAGTCACTGACAGCAATGAGACCTGTGAGACAACAGCAAACACCATGTCACACACGGTGAGATATGATTTATGATAGAAAATACCCAACGATATCATACATGGGAAATTGTACAAAATGTAAGACATTTTTGTATCTTCTCAGGATGTGGGGGAAGGGAGGTATCAAGAGAGAGACCGATAAGATATGGTTCCCGAGAGCCCCAGCACCTAAGGAATACCTAGCACAGTGGTGAAGGTATGGCTGTGGGGGTGGAAGGGAATGAAAAATCTCTGGCCAGACAGAAGAAACAAGACGATTTCAGTACATTTGCCCAAGAGTGCGAGTAAACTAATTATATGACACTTTGCACTGCAATAAAATTGGAAATAATGCTTGGTTAAAAAGTACAGCAGATTAATGCACATCTTTCAATTCAGAAATAGCATTAGACTATTTGAACAGTCAAAAGATAGTGTGCATGAGCAGTCATTGCAGCACTGGATATGCAATAGTGAAAGAACAGATTGTCTATGCCACATAGTACAGAGTGAAGATGCAGGAGATGAGCTAGCTAAGGACTGCTGCCGTGACTCCATGGCAAGCCATGTGAGTCCAGACTAAGGGTGGCTGTCAGGGAGAATGCAAATGAAAAAATTCTTGTGAGGAAAGCAGAAATAATGGTTGGAGTAGAGGCACACTGACGATTAAAAGCTAAAGGTGTCAGGTCAGTAATAAAGCACAAAGCCTCGAGAGGAAATGAACTTGAGCTGGTGCTCACAGACAGGCAGAGTAACTACTATATGACAACATGTACAAAAACAGTGTGCTCTGTAAAGCAGTTGACCAAACCCAGTTCCTCAGGAAAACCCAAGTTCTAGCCTTTTTCCCTTTTAGGTCAGATCATCCCCCATGGGAACCTTCATTGCGAATCTTGATAAAATATTGTTAGGAAAACTATTTGCTCAATGTGTCTGCTCCTTGTTAGGCTGACATTCCCAAGGGCAAAGGTTATCTTGTTAATTTTCAGAGAAAACTTTTTAAAAACTTTTTAAAAATCAACAGGAAAAACCTTACACAATGATGCTGTGTTTCAGAACTGCTCTCAAAAATACATAGAAAACTATAGGCATTTCCTCTTCATGGGTTCTGGGCTATGTAAAGGAGCAAGCACACTGACCAGCATGACAGGGTCTCCATCAGCACTGCAGAGTTGGTGGGTGTGGGGCATTATGCTTCCTAATCATTTTAGGATGGGGAAAGGAGACAGTAAAAAGTGTATCAGGTTTGGAAAATGAACTATGTGGGCGGCATTGTCAATAAACACAGGCACAGGAAGGTTGGTCCAGCTTCACGATTGCTTCAGGAGAATCTCCTGTAGGCCGCATTGAAGGAAGTGCCATCCAGCAATGTGGAGCAATAGCCTCAAAGGTATTTGAGCGCAGTTGGCCTCTGCAGAGCATGTCCCGACTCTCTAGAGACTGAGAAACAGGCCCAAGCTGCCACAGCAAGTACATGGACTGACAGCCTGCACCGAATGTGGAGCAATAGCCTCAAAGGTATTTGAGAGCAGTTGGCCTCTGCAGAGCATGTCCTGACTCTCTAGAGACTGGGAAACAGGCCCAAGCTGCCACAGCAAGTACATGGACTGACAGCCTGCACCAGAGAGACAGCACACCGCCTTCTCTCCCTTGCAAGGAGCATATAGGAAGTGGACACTGGGGAGTCATTCTTTGGTTTTTGCAGCAGCTTCACATGGAGGCAGTGGTACTGTGGTGGCTATATCCCAGCGTTTGCTTTTAATCTTTCATATTAGTTTTTAAAATTACAACCTAACAAGTTTTCAGATGACATTTTCCTGCCTATTTCCTTTTGCTTGATGACCCTGCCCCAGGCCTCCTTTATCCACTCACCTCTCTCGCCTGCCTGCTGTACCCTTTGGTT